GTTCATGGCTTGCTCTGTATTTTATTATAGGAGGGTGTCTTGTTAGACTTAAACTATAACAGAATACATTTGGATGATTCATATCTTTTTAACATTGAAATACTATCCAATATATTAATATAATAGAGAGGATATATGTGTATGTCATCTCTCTGTCACAGTAATCATAAGCCCCGTGCATGTTCTACATTTATTACATCCTACATCATTCTTAAGATGATCCATGTGCCTCAAGGGAGTTTGTCATTTCCATTCTTGCATGTCCTGCTGCCACCTAATGGCAGGGAGCTCAACCTTCACCTTCTGTGCTAAAAAAGGGGAGAAAACCGGTTCTGAAGCTTCCATCCGTGTAGAGCAAGCAGCTAAAAGTACTAAATGCTTTAATTTTTAGAGTCATAAAAATCTTGGGAAAATTAAGTTAATTGAACTTAATATTAATTGATAGGATTTTTGTCCAGCACAAGCTATCTAGAGTCATATAGTACTTCAGTTAGGGGCGTGATACCATGTTTCCAGCCCACGTGAAGGTGCCAGTCACGGTAACCCACGCTAAGGGTTACCCAACAGTGGGTTTTTTTGAAGTGCAAAGCAACCAGGTCCATATTGCCAAGGAGCCTTGAGGGCCTATGCACTCAGACACCCTCAAATTACCGTGGTGGAAGGTATTAAGCTGCAGAAACACTGTTTTTAGCCTGCAGGAAATGCAAAATACTGCAAATTAATTTTGTCTGCTGCAAAACCGGTTGCGGTGGAGAGAGCTACATATATATGCTTCTATATATGTATATAGAATATAGATATAGCTGTAGATATAAATGAGTCCTAGGTCACAAAAGCCTTGGCTTTGAAAATCCGGTGCGAGGTCTTGGCACACGCTGAAGCAGGACAGCTGAGATGCAAGGACCCGTGGCAATTACTGCTCCCAACACTAAGGAATAAATCAAGCCACGTTGTCCTCAGCTCTGATAACCCACCTCTCCTCACGAGCTGGCGGCTAGTGTTCCAGGTCACCAAGTCAAATTCATTGTCGACTTACTTTCTTCTCCTTTTAGCCACTAATTCTGTATCAATGTTAAGATCAGATCTATATCGGGTCTTACACACGTAGCCGCAGACCAGTCAATGGGAGGCCTGCAGAGAACCAAATCAGCGCGTACATAACGAGCCATGAGCTGGGCCTCGTTGCTGCCAGCATAAGGAATTACCTGGATGAACAGGTTGACAAAATATGGCTACTCTTGTGCTCTTCTGCAGCTGCAAACCAGCACTGCCCCGCTGACCTGAATATCCTTCCGAGATTCCTCACTGGCTTGGTTCCTCAGTACACGTTAGGTTTAGATCTGGCTGTTGATGACATCTTCCTGACCTCAAAAACTTCTACATGCTTCAGTTGATATTTTTTGGCCTGTTCCAACACGGACCAGGTTCACTGAGTCCCTGGAATTGATTTCCTAGGGAAGAGGTTTCTTTCTTTCCAATTTAGGCGTTGGAGGAAGAAATAATGATAGAATAAAGACAAATAGAGGCTTTGCAGATGTGTGTTAACTAAACACCAGTGCTTTAGGCTGAATGTATCTTTCACTGGGATATTATTGTTGCGACAAGCTAATAAATCTTACACACAGCTACCCACCAACCCTGTTCTATGGGATTTGATTGCATATATGCTAACATCTAATTAAAGCTGCCAGTAGCCAAATAACTGCATGTCATTGGTGACAGAGCCAGGATCCCCACATTAACCAGAGGTCTTTTTATTAGTGGGTGACCATTGCCCCTTCTCATCAGATAAAAAGAAAACCCTCTTAAAACTTCCCACCGGATAGGGGTGCCAGGTTTAAAGCTGTGTAGAGAAAGCTAACTGCATTTCACAGAGCACTTGAACATTTGGTTTTGTTCAGATGAGGAACAAGAGCTAAACATCGTTGCAAAGTCAGCTGCAAGCTCCAGCTGAGCCTGGATTTGGGGGAAGACCACCGAGAGGGTTGATCTGGTGGATGTAGGGATGCAGCAACCAAGGGATGAGCGGCTGACAGCAATGCTGGCTCTTTCTGAGCCCTTCCCACGATCTGCTGCGATCTCACCCAGCATCTCTGCGACACAGTAAAACCCAACCACCACCGAAAGTTTCACTGGCATTTCTCCAGCCAGCTCTAACACTCCCCATTCAGTTATCTGTGTGTGGCTTCTATTTACGGCTGTACTTTCTCTCCCCTCCTCCATCGCTGTCACGAGGGTCTAAGTAGAAACACATCGGAGGGCTGAGGGCTGTACCAATAGCTTAAGCTTCTTTTGCTGATCTCTGCAACGCGGAGCACGGAGTTTTCTGGCAAATGTCTCTGCTTTGCCAAATACTGCCCTAAACAGACAACTGCCCTGAGCAGAGGCTTGCTTTTCTCTAAGGAAATTACACTGTGGACCATTGATTCCTCTTCACCATCACCATCTTCCAAGGAACCGTAGCTACCGTACATCTTACTCCTACACAGGACTACCATTAGCCCACTTTAGCACTGATGTCAGAGCTCAGCTGGGTTTTCTCTGTTGAAGGCACCAGCCAAGGTACGTCGTTACACAGAACACGTATCACCTTGAGACACAGATGCACCTAGTGAAACAACAACATTTTGTCTTTATTAGGAGTTCCCATGGTAATATAACACAGAGTTCTTAAGGAATAAAACACAAGACTTGGGGTTGGGGGTGGGGTTTTTTTGCCATTGAGACAATGGTCAAATATCAGTACTTCTTTTTGTCTACACACATGATCAGCTTTAGCACTTACAGCTCCTCCACTCATGGTTCACAATCACAAATCCGAGGGTTAAATCCAGCTAGTATTAAATCCTACTTTTTTTTTATTTTTAGAGCTTCAAGTCACTGCGGTTAATTAATTAATTAAGTCATCGTCTTTTTTTTTCTTTAAGCATTTACATATGACATTCATTAAACAGACACAAAGCGGACGAGCTCTCACAGGAAAAAACATGCTTACATAGCCTGCAAAAATCTTTTTTTGTGATTTTTTTTTCCTTTTGAAGAACAAATTAAAACTAAAAAGTCATCATGAGTCAGTGAAGGAAAAAAAAAGGAAGACTTAAGTGAATACTGAAGAGCCGCAAGTGTTTCGTAGAATTGAAACGGATCTGCAATTCTTTTTTTTTTCTCCCCAACTCGTTCAAATTGATTTTAACATATAGGTGAAAAAAAATGAAAATAGCTGCAATATATATTAAGTTCACGGATTACTTAACAAACAAAGTGCAAACTCTTTTATGCAAAACTAAAAGACCCAAGAGTTAAACCTAAATGCAAAATGCATGGATGAATATGGCAATGTTTTTCTCAACTTTTGTGTTCAAAGGGGCCTCAAGGAATTAGGTGCTGAAGCTGGGAGGGTTTGGGTACCTACGTAGCTTCCAGATCCTTTGCAAATCCCAGCATTAATGCTTCATAACAACAAATTTGGTACTTGTTTCTTAAAAGCCTTCATATGTATAGTTTTTTCCCTAAAAGAACCTGTAAACACCATTTAAGAAAATACTCACAAATATGGAAAAACAAGGTCAATGTACGTGGCAAAGTACAAATAGAAGAGAAAGCAGAAGATGCAGCCAAGTGCCAGGGCATACAGACAGTGGAGGTAATGCTGTGTTAGCTGCGGGTAGAAAAGCTCTCTGTCCTAAGAGACAAGCCAAGTCCTTGGGACCGCTGAGCCCTGCAGCTGAGTTTAAGTGGGAATCTAATGGTGCAGATTTATTCTCCATGTCCTGAAAATAATAAGCCTCCAATACTAGGGCTAGAAGACTTTCCAGAAGATACTTAAATGCCCAGATCCCGCTGACTACCACAGAAGCTGGGGCTCCTAAATTCATTCAAGGACCACTTGGGGCCTCTGGTTTCTCAAATCTGAGGCAGCAGGCATCTGAGGAGGGGTGGGGAACTGAGGAAGGCTTTCTCATGAGTATCTGCACAAAGGCAGATTCCTGAAGGAATGAGTGACTCTGAAATTTGCACCGTCTACGAGGGATTCTCAGCTGCTGTTGACCCATTGAGCTGCTCTGAGGCTCCCAGTTACAACAGCTGGGCATCCTGACTCGAATCGGAATTGCCACAGATGCTCAGCCACACACTCGACTGACCGGCCTTCCGATGAGAGCTAAAGATAAGCTCTCATAAAGTTTTAAATAACCACTCATCGATAGCCAGGAAGGGGGAACGTGGCTGCTACAGAAATCTTTCAAGCAACGTGTTGCTCTTTGCCCATGGCCCCCTGCTTATCGATTTCCACCTCCAGGAAGAGAAGACAAACTAACTGCTAAAAACTTCTCAAGAGACTCTGTCCCAGCTCCTCAGCTGGTATCCAGCCCCTTTCTTTGCACCAGCTCAAGACCTAGTACACTGAAGTGAAGATCATAGCTTATGAACCTGCTCCGTGACCTCCTATTGCAGCTAAGTGGCAAGCGTCGGCTGGAATGATGCAACCTAGGAATACCTGAAGTACCAGGGTGGCAGTGGCAGTGACACTGACGGGAGTCTGTAACTTGAATGAGGTTCGGGAAGGACCAGGAAGAACAGGGAGATCCCCAGTTCTCAGATAAGGCTCGTAAACACAATGATACAAACATATTAAAAACACACACACAAACATTTAAAAAAAAAAAGTTTCCTCAAGGACCTAATTTGCAGCAAAATCCAGAAGGAAAAAAAAAAATGAAAAAACAAACCAACTGAACCAAATTGCCCAACGATTCTAGCTCACCCGATGGCTGGGTGCGATGCGCTTTGTCAATTCCTAGTGCTGGGTCCTGTTCTCTCTCTGGGCAGCAGACAGCTATTCAGTGGTGGGGAATGGTTACAGACAGGCTGGGATTCCTGTCCCTCCGTGCTTGCCTAGCTATCCTGCTGGAACACAGAACCCTACAGAATATCCAGTTTAAAACCCTTGAACTACTCTTCTGCTTGACGTTTTAAAAAAAAAAAAAAAAAAAAAAAAGCTATTTTTTACATTTATTATTTATTTATTCCTTTTTTGTGTGTCTTAAAGGCAGCTCCCGGAAAATTCACTTTATCCTTCCTTTATTAAAAGAAAGATGCTGAATGGGACAGAGGCCACATATCTCAAACATCCTCTTTACATTTACTTTTGCATGTCAGAGGTGTCAAAACAGGGTTTATTTCTTTAAATGTGTAGGGGCTGAGGGGGGAAGTGAGAGGGGTTGGTGAAGATGAGGAGGGAATCTGAGGGGACTGAAAGAGGCGCCTTACTTCAGCCCCCCCCTCACTGGTTGCCCGCAGTAACTGTCACAGGCTCTAAAAGAATCAAAAAGGGTCTCCAGGTGCCCCCGTCCCCTGGTCCGCTAGGCGGGCACAGAAGGGGTCGGTCCTTAGCCCAAGCTGGTGATGTTGGCGCGTCCGCCGGGCGGTGCCACGATGCGCTGAGTCGTGCGGCGTGGGATGTTGTCATCGATCTGTGCCCCTGCGGGAGAGAGAAGCAATGGTCAGGTCCCCCGCGCCAGCGAGAGTTTGAGACGAGCGAGCTGCAGGACAAGGGAGTCGGGAGAGCACGGCTGCACTGAAACCCATCAAGCCCTCTTAGGCCAGGCTCCAACCGTGTGCACCAAAATGCATCACCTTTGGAGGAGAAGCCCTTACTGGTCTCCAGTGCCTTAATTCTGCTGAAACCTGTTCTGCATTAGTATCGCCGAACACCTGAGCCACCCAGCCCCGCACAGATAAGAGGTGGCTAAATGGTTTTCCTTCAGCGAGCCTTTTTATTCCTTTTTATAGTTTTCCCTTATTGCACTGCAACAGCACGCTGAGAAATCAAATCTGCCACATACCAGATCCACAGCTGGTCTCAACTGGCAAAGCTCCGCTGAAGTTGGTGCCATCTGCCCTCTTCGGGCACCCGGCTGAGGACCGAGCCCAGAACGCAATGGGGTACTCAAAAATGAAAATAAGCAGGGCTTTATGATAGCTCCTACACTGCTCTTCCTCCTTTCTGAAGCGATAACCTCCGAGCTAAAAACGCATCACAGTCTCTCTCATTGCCTTCCAATTTCAGCAGAATTAATTCAGAGTATAGGAGTATAAACAAGCCGTGATTTCAAAGCGATTTAGCCCCATAAAAGTAGGTACGTACCAGACAAGCTGAATCCAGACTGGTGCAGGTTCCTCACGGGTGGGGCCTGCTGTTTGGCAGGAGACGTCTTGGCTGAAGACGCTGGTGTGACGGTCTTCGGTGTCACTGACACTTCGCAGACGGGTCCGTCGTAGAGGCCCCGAGGCACACCCCGCAGCTCGGCCAGCTGCAAAAGACAGAAGCCGGCAGCCTTCAGGGTCAAAACAGCCTTCAAAACAGAACTAAACAGCTGGCCAGATGTTGCTAAGCCAAGATTTGTCTTTGGTAAGAGGATCTGAAAGCGTACATCATCTCCTCCGTGCTGATCCTGAGGTGGTAGCTGGTCTCTGAAGCAGCACAGATAAAATGAAACGCGCTCTGGACTGCCGTGGCCCCAGCTAGCTGCGAGCTGGTGGGAGCAGCCTACAGCAGACAGGCAGGCTTGCACCGCAAGTTCTGTCCTTTAATGATCTTCACCTACCTGCGGTTGTATTAAAGGCTCCTGACAACTCTCAAATGAAACTTATTACTCATCCCCGAAAAGCAAAACAATGCTGAGACAGAGGCAGGTCTGCATAAAGAGGAGCCAGGCTAGCTTCACACCGCCAGCTTGGGAGCTTTAGATTGGGTTAAATGCAATTATTCCAGTTGAGACGCTGCCCGATTGGATTTATTGGTCAGACACGTATTTCTGTGGGAGACCAGAACACAACAGAAACCACGGATCTGTTCTCTGCGGTGCTAAATTATTTGAGGTTGTAATTTTGATAACTTGCAATTTCTTCACAAGAACAATTAAGGAAAGATCATTTGCAAGGAATGTGAAGATTACCTATGGTCAGCAGAACTAACACAGCTCTGGTTTTGTCCAGGAGAGGGCAACACTTCAAACATCAAAATGCTTTTCTCCTCAGAAATCTGATTTCATCTAGAAATAAACTTAAGTTCTCAGCAACTAAGTTGCAGCTGAGTTCAGTGTCATCTTCTCTCTCAGTTTTTACCAACTAAAGGCATATCAAAAGGCAGTTTCTGTTTTGAATGGGTGTATTTACAAGAACACTTTTCCAACAATTTTAGCTGCTTAAAAATAGAAAATTCTCACTTTTAAATAGTCAGTAGGCTGCGCCTGTGACTCACCAGTCACCAGACAAGAGCATCTGATCATATCTGACAGAAGAGAAAGCAGCATAATGTATCTATAACAATAAATTAGAATTCTAAATGGTTACTGAAAGGTTTGATACATAAACGCTATCAATAACTTCTCTTGGTACTTCTGTGACAGGAGAAGCCTGCCGGGTTATTTGCAGATGGACAGTTCCTGGACACATGCTCTGTTTAGGTGTCCCAAGACAGAGAAGAATTAAAGAGCGGAAAAATAAAATTTGCAGAAAATCCAAGCTCAAGCCAAAGCATATTCCTGTAATGACTCAAGTGAATAGCAAAAATGAAAGAGGAATGAGATAAATATGGCTCCTATCCAGGCAACATTTTCTGTTGCAGAAGTGTGTGTCTGCGAGCCAGGGAATAGCATCTGTTTTCCACCCACTTTAACCCAGGAGTTTCAGTGAGAGAACAAATGTGCATCCAACCATTTATACTCACCCTGCTCCTTGCTTTGATGCGCTTGTAAACGAAGTCAGGGAACGGTTTCCTGGGGATATACCGTCCAGATCCCTCGGTGACATGGAGATTCCCATCCTCCAGCACGATCTTCCCCTGGCTGATAACCACCAGGGGAGACCCACGGCACTCCATGCCTTCAAAGATATTGTACTCCAGAGACTAGAACAAACAAACAGACAACATGAGGCAAACATATTCATCCCAGCAAAGCCTGCTGTGCTTTAATTAGCAATCACCAGTCATGCCAATTGCCAAAATTTTAAGCACAGATGGAAGCAAACTCAAGCATTTACCTGAGTTGGATATGCTGTGGTTTAATAGAAAGGCTGGTCTTTATTATCAGCCTAAATTTATTACGGATTTACTCAGGCAAAATTTGCATTGCAACAAGATTCTTAAAGAGGAAATACAGTTTCGAGTGAGAATATCTCAAAGCCTGCCTGTTTAAATGCATTTAGGCACCTATCTCTTCTGAACTGTGGGGGACTTAGGAGCCAAATAAAGCTTTATCTGAGTTTCATACTAAAAATAATGATTTTGAAAAGCTGTATTTCACACCTGTGTTTTGGTTGATGGGTCAGGGACCAGGCCAATCTTGTTTTACTCTAATGGGATGGCTCATCCTCAATTAACAGGATTGGAAACATTACACCACAGAAAAAAGACAAGTTTTAAAGGAATGAATGTCCCACCCATGAAGCATCCTGGAATGAGATGCTCCACAACCATGTTATTTGGGGACTGTTACTCTAGTGACCATCTCTGAGACAAATCCAGGTCTTTTTTACTGAGTTAATAATGGACTTTGCTCTTGAAGTGTGTTATAAGTACGGGTAGGCTTGACTGCAGATTTACAATTAGCTAGAACAGCGGTTAAACCGACACTGAACTGGGTCCAGTCTGAAAAAAAGCTGTGGTGGCAAAGGAGGAGGCTTGGTTAGAAGCTTATGAATTAGGCTGGTCCAAGAACAACACTATCTGCCTCTCTAGCTCCTAATGTTTTCTTGCCAGACAGTGGCAAGAGCAGTGTGAATTCTTGGAAAATAGCCGTATGTTGCTCTAGCATTTAAAAAAGTAACAATCATCTGATGCCACATAACCACTACGTCTCCCTGTGTTGCAGCAAACGCTCTGCCTGACTTTCAAAGGGGCTTTTGTTTTATACTTGACCAAACTAGGATGCCTTGACTCTCAAGGCATCACTCCTATCAATTTCTCCTCTAACACAAGGCACACGCGCAGTGCGAGACAAAAAAATACCCCAACAGGTGTAATGCCAGGTATAACAGGCGATGCAATGACAGGGGAAGAGGTTAGAACTGGACGTGTAAGAAAAAAAGCTGCGATTTCTTAGACAGCCCTTCACGCTCTAAACAAACCACTTGAAAACGAGAGCCCTTCATCCTCCATAGTCTTGGCACAACTTAAAGATGCAGCTTTTGGCAACAGCTGATCATTGAGCGCTGAGGCCTCTTACACGGTGCAAGAGTTTCAGGGAGATCTGCAGTCCTTAGCGTATAAAGTATTTCTGAATGGTTGCTCCACGGTGGATCTGGTTCTCCTTCAGCCTAGCCCAGATCTATGGCAAAATCATGGAGTCAATCCTGATTGTACTGGGGCATATCCACAAAAGATAAAGTCTCTGAGTTTTCTGTAAGGAAATTGAAAGGGTCCAACTCATTTCCTAAAGACAACAGCCATTAAATGGCAATGACTTTCAAATACTCCACCCAGCAAGCTACTTCCAGCTCTCTGAGCCATTCACAAGCACAAACCCAGGTTCAGACCACTAAATTTGGCACGTAATAGCGCTGTGTCCCTGGGCTTCCTCCTCCAAGTCATTCCTCTCCAGACTGGAGGTGTGATGAGTCTGAAAGCACCTCTAAGGGGATTGAAGTGACCAGACTTCTGAGTCTGGATGCCTCTGTTAGAAGTCTAAGCACAGGCAGGATGAATCCAGGCCATCTGTGACCAATTCTGACACAGAGTTAAGTCACAGGGAAGTGAACCAAACCTTTAAAAAAAGTTTCTTTGTGAATGTGCCCAGGGATCCAAGTGTGGAAGAAAATTTTGCTCCTTCAGCTCCGAGTGAATGAAAGCATTCACGGAAAAAAGAACAAGGAGTTTTTTTCCAGGCAAACATTCCATAGGTTCATCGCCAGCAGTGAAACAAGCCATCAACAAATGCAAACAGTGGTTGCTTTCTCTGAGACAGTGCTCGAATGTCACAGGGAGACTCCAACCAGCCCTTTGCACTGAGACCATTCTGCACTTTCCCACAGGGTGGGACAGCTTTTTCACTGTAGGAGCCAGGTATAAGGTATGGGACACAGCTGTGGGCCACAAGCAAACCATGCCTCTAAGAGTGCCACCACAAAGCCGCAGAAGAAACAAGGGGAAGGTCTGGTTAGTCTGGGCGTTGCCTTGTGCCTCCCTGTGCCAACTAACATTGGGATGATCAGTAAAATCATGTCTAAGTATGACTCCACACACATGTGCCAGATCAGTACGTGGTGTAAATCTGCTCAGACTCATTGATCTGGATCAGATCTCCAGCAAAGGCGTCCACGAGCTGACAAGCTTCACTGACCCCAACCAGGAAAGGGGCAGTTCACATTCCCACTGCTAGCGAGTCAGAAGGTCATTAATAACACATTGTGATAAGAGGCCTTTTGATATTTTAGAAGATTTAAAGAGCTTTCTGTGTGCTCAGATCCAAGCATCCAACACTCAGAAAGAGCAGACAATCTCTTTGCTCCCAGGGGAATCTCATTCATGTGATTTCAGATTTGGACTCAATAGTCTTCCCTTCTGCTCACACAACTGAGCTGTACTGGGTGTAAGACCAGAGAGGCTTGGGGCATCGAGAAAACAAAGCCCTGAGTTGTTATGAGCTCTAGTTCTTGGCAGCACTGTCTGGCATTGAAGGAAGAGAGGAGGAAATGAGCAGCAGAGCTCACATTGTAGAAAATATCCTTACTATGTTATGAGTCTTGGCGGAGATTGTCTTGACACTGTCAGGATCCCAGATAACCAGATCAGCATCCGAGCCCACTGCAATACGGCCCTTCCGTGGGTACAGGTTAAAGATTTTAGCTGCATTTGTGCTGGTCACAGCGACAAACTGGTTCTCATCCATCTTGCCAGTCACCTGGGGAAAGACAAAAGGAGTCACTGCATTAGCCAGGTGGGGACCACTCCAAAAAGCAAATAGCTGTCAGCACAGCAGATTCCCAATGTTCTCTAAAGGGCAAAAACCTGAAGCGGAAGGACCACAACAAGCATCTGGGGGGAGATAACAACACACTGCTGCAGCTCTTACAGCTCTGAAGGTCTAGTTGCAGCCTAAGCCTATGACACGTGTGACATACCACAGCCTTATCCCAGATGATGGACATCCTCTCTTCAGTCCCATTGGTTCCTTCAGGGATCAGGGTAAAGTTGTCCTTCCCAACAGCTTTCTGAGCAGTGTTGAAGGTGCAGTGGGCACTGCCAGTAACTTGGAGGTCTCCACTGGAAAAGACAATGACAGGTATTTAAGATATTTTATTGTCACAGGTTTACTCCTAAAGGTAAAACAGCCTTTTGCTTGCTGGCTACAACAGTTATTATTTTTATCACCCACTTGTCTCATGATGAAGCACGTGCTGTATGAACACAAAGAGCTCTACTCACCAGGACAGTAGTGAGTTGAGAAAATCAGGAGTGGTTGGGTCAGGACTCAGTGGTGGGGAAGTGACAAAAGCTGCCGCCTTAGCCCAATTCTTGCTCCAGTAATGAGATCCATCGGTACCCAAGCTGGCTGTGATGGGCTCTCCATACACCACAGTGCCTACAGGACACAAATACAGGCAAATCATAGAATCATAGAATCATAGAATCATAGAATCATTAAGGTTGGAAAAGACCTCTAAAGATCATCCAACCGTTAACCCAACACCACCATGCCCACTAAACCATGTCCCTAAGCGCCACATCTACACGTCTTTTAAAT